CACTATACTATACTATATATATTGTATTATTTTCATTATTATATAACATAAAAAGTGAACAAAACTTTATAATGTCAAGTCATCCTAAAAGTTTCTTGCTTTTTCTTAGTAATTTTTACGTGCATAATATTTTCTATTTAATATAATTTTACTAATAATATATATATATATAGATTAATTTTACAATATTACCATTTTACTATACCGTATGCTACTTAAAGCTTTATGGTTTTCCACGCTGTATTAGGATTATTGTCAGAAGTTTTCAACCCTGTTTCGTGTTAAGCTCAAAACTTTTCAGCTTTCCTCGTGTTAGGCTCGAAACTTTTCAATCCATCGTCGTTTATTAAGTTTAGAAGTTCAGAACATTTTTCAACCTAACCATGTAAATGTTCTTCTATAATTTTTTTTTGTTTTTTTGTTTTTTTGTTTTTTTAATTAAACTATTCAAAATTTATTTTTCCATCTAACATGAAACGAACTAATATATAAAAATGCATATGAAACTTTTCCCTTCGTTTTTTTGGAAACGATTGAATGTTGTATCTTACTGCTTGCTCAGTGTATAATTCTGATAGACCTTTACAATTAATTGTGTAGAATTTAAAAAGAATCGGTATCCGGTTAACTTTAAATATTACATAATTTTCATAATTTTACTTAATACACATTTTACAAGTAGAAATATGGTACAATAATCTGTGCACAAATACGAGCAGTCTGTTCAGTCGGCATCAAAAATGTTACGATTTTTCGTTCGCGTTTTGGCAGGGGGAAAACGCTGAATTCACTTCAAAACCTCCAGCTGTAACTAACAATAAGTAACGAAATTACACCTCAATAACAATCAAATTAGAGATGATTTCTAATTTATTTTCAGAAAAACGAGAAATGACCTATAAAACATTAAACACATTTCAAAAGTAAGTTTTCGTAAACGAGTCATAAGAACCGTTATCCTTAGGGTATTAGTTTCGCAATCTTATCAAGCATTATTTAAGGATGTCGAGAAAGGGGAAACCACTGAGAGAAGGTATCATTTTCAGATTCTTTCAACTATACCAAGCTTCCAGAAGCCGAGAAATCGTTTACTACAGTTCTGCAGTAATCGTCGCCGTTATTCTGATTTATGCCAGCGAACGATCCTGTACGCTCGTTTTCCAAGTACTTTCCAGAAAAAGAGAGTTTTTTTTGTTGTTGTTCTGGGAAAACATGAACGAGGATGAGAATGAGAAAAGCAATAAAAATAAATGGAAGAGAAAAAAAAAAAGAAATAAAGAAAGAACTGAAAAAGGAAAACGTTGCCTAGGACTTTTAAGGAAGATTTGAATCCTACATTCAATAAGACGAGACGACTTTAATTTAAACTACCCCGAAACTCAATTTTAAGCTACGCCTTCTCATCTCCAACGTTTTCCAACTTGAATCCGACTTCCTTCGTTCACGAACACAAATCGACATTTATAAATTTCGCAAAATAAATATAAAATGAATTAAATTAAAAAAAAATAATAATAATAAAAGAAAGAAACACAATGTCGAAAATTATTTATCCGTACACTACGGACTAATAAATTCTTAGATAATTTTTAAACATTTCCGTACTATTTTTCGAAACTTATTATAATTATTATTAAAAACGAAGAAAAAAAAGAAATTAGCTTAAAAAATTTCAGAGAAGAGTATATAGATTTTGATAATTACTTTAAAAACTTTTGACTCATCCTATACTAATATAATTCAATATTATTTTCTTTGAATTTATTTTGTATATTGAAATATAGAACGTATGTGCGAGGGAATAAGTTTTATTAGAAAAATACTTTTTACCCAAGGTATTCTCTCAAAGTTATAAAAACATAAAAATATACAATAGTTGGGGTACGTCTTGGGGTATCATTTTTGTAGACGTAATACGTGAGATTGTAGGTTAATAGCTTCAGTTAATACGAGTAAAGATCCATCCGATACAATGTAACAACTTTGTAACGGGGTACTTCGAGTATTATCTCGAAAGAAAAAGAAAAAGAAAAAGAAAAGGGGATTTCTTTCTTTGTCCTTTTTGTACGAAGAAAAATGTGACGGATAAAAAGAAGTAAATAAATATTACTGCAAACAAAGATAGATTTGGTTTTTATTACTCTTATTCATCATCCAGAAATATAATAATTATCGACTTTTATAAAAAAAAAAGAAAATAAATATCATTTCAACGGTTCTTATATGTATTGTGTTCGATCCCGTTACTTGTGAACTGACGTTGAATCAATCGTAATTTTCAATGCATAAATACCGTATGTCATTAACACGTTCACTATAATTATACATGATGAGTACTTAAGCCGATCTTCAAAGTGTGGATTAATTAATGATGGGGTGGCACCGTTTATGTCACATATTAACAGATTCATTTGATTATACTAATTCGAATATGACTATTATGTCCCTTAAATACTAATAATACTATATCTGACAGATTTATGATAGAAACTAAAACGACTAATGTAGTCAATTACAAACTTTAAACAAAAATTCATTAATTATCTTGTTTCGGGTACGTTAGTATGAAATTCACTTAATTATATTAATAAGAAAAAGTATGATAAATATTAACTATTGATCTCTAACATATTTCTCTAATAAAAAATCATTCATTAAAAATCCAATTGAAAACAAAAAATAATAAATGAAAAAGCGTTATGTGGAAAATATAATTACTTTTGATTAGATAAAATTCGTGTAGTAAAAGTTAGGCAATAGTAAGAGTCAATTGGCAAAAGGATAGTCAAATTAGACGAGCACCTCTTCCAGTTTTACTCGTAGAATGAATCGTATAAACTTTCTGGCGGAAGTTGCCAAATATATGTGCAACTTCCTAAAGAGTTATGACTTTAAAACTTCTTGACTCTCTCTCTCTCTCTCTCTCTCTCTCTCTCTCTCTCTCTCTCTCTCTCTTTCTTTCTCTAACTATTTCTCAATCTCTCTACTCTTCTCTGTAAGGTCGTTGAAACTTACTCATTTCTCTTTGGGAATAGATCGTTCGTTCGACGAGTTGCAAAGCAATGTCGTCGCAACTTTTCAAGTGATATTTCTCGCACTTTTATATTTTTCTTTTTTCTTGTTTCTCTTTTCCATCTTCTTGTTTTTGTTCTTGTTCTTATTTTCTTATTCTTCTTGTGCTGAATTATCATTTTAGCTTTCTTTTTAACAAGGGATGACAATTTATTTTTATTTATTTTTTGTCTTTTTCTTATGAAAAAAAAAAAAAAAAAGAAAGAAAAAGACCATTATCTATAATGATTTTTATATCAATTTTTCTTCGATAAATATGCTGCCAGGCGTAAAATCGAATTTCCTAGCTTCCGAAATTATACCACCGACCGGGATAAGAGGATTTCTATATAATTCGAAACCCCCTTAAAATATGCACCCCCTGAAGTTTTTATCCTAGCTTGCGACCTAAGATTTTGAGACATAAATTCGATAAAGAAAATATCGATACTTTTTTATGAAACGAATTTGCCTAGTGTCTGTCAACTTTAGAATTGGAATAAATAAATGGATTTAAAAAAAAATGGTTCAAGGTCAATAGTAATTAAGTAAGTATATTTACCTAAACATTTTTTTTTTTCTTCTTTTACGAAAATGAAAATTAATATATCAAAGAAAGATATTATTTTCGAATGCAATTCAATCGACAATTTTAATTTTATATACGTTGTTAAATTGGAGAATATGTGTTTGTGTGTGTGTGTGTGTGTGAGAGAGAAAGACAGAGATAGGATATAAAGAAGGTATCTCTTAAGTTCCAAATAGTGCCAATTACCGAGATTCTCATTCGTATCTTAACATTCCTGCTGTCCCTCGAAAACCGTAGTTTCAGCCCTTTGATATCACAAGATGCGATCTCGGCTAGCGAACCGCAAACATCCACTTGTAATACGAACGAGTTGAGCTCTTTACATGTATGTATATGTCGTATATACATTGTGAAGAAGTAAGACACGACTACTAGAAACGTTACCCTCCTGTTTCGAATCTCATGCAACGTTTACTTAATCAAGCTTTTCGAGTAGTCAGAAAGACAAGGAGAGCAAATAAAGGATCGACCATTTTCGAAAATTATGTGTATATCGGTGTGTTACACCGATCGAAATTTATGTACGTATATATTATATATTATAGCACAGTATTCAAGTGTTTGGATTTTTAATTTGAATTTGTGAAAAAGAAATAGGATTTAAGTACGTAAAGTAAAATTCATTTCCTCCGTTCTAATATTTAATTTTGAAATGAAGAAAATATAAAGCAACGATCGAAGTTTAAAAGTTCTATCAGTTTTAAATAAGAAACGTCATCGGAATCCACCGATAGTTGAATCTTTTGAATGAGTTTTTGCCAATCGATAGATCCATTAAGGTGAAAGAAAGTCGAAATAGAAATAAGATGACATACGGAATGTTAAGTAGTACGAACAGGGAATATGGTCAGCCATTTGTAAGTAGTATAAGCATTATATGGTCAGACACTTTTTGAAAGTGAACAACCAACTTACAATTTCTTTTCAATTTATCTTCGTACGAACAAAGTTTATTTGTAAAAATATTTTTCATAAATATTATGCAATATTTTAAAGACATATATATATATATATATATATATATATATATTATATTATGCAATATATCGAATGATAAAAATTTGTATTTTTCATTTGTTCTAATAATTTCTAATCTTATTATTTTTAGTCGACACTGAAACCGTCCGGCACTCTAAATTAAGGAATGGAGGGAACGTGGCAGTGGGAGCAGCGAAAGCACTGCCATATTATTTTGCTTAATCCTTGGTCGCGTGTTAAGACAAATCCAAGACAAGTTGCAGGTAAGATTAAAAATGAAAAATAAAATTTGTTTTTGAGAAAAATATAATTAATTGTGAAATGTTGTCAATTACGCGTGCACTTTATTTTACATTTTCGATTTAATTTTTCATGTAGAGTCATCCTTTGCTTGCTTGTGTACCACCAATTACAGGATACCCTGTATATTATATATTATAAATAATAATAATAATAATATATTATATGAACGATTGTCTGGAAGAAGAGCCTATGTTACGTATTACAAACTTGTAACATTACATATGCAACAAGTAAATTTAACATGGGCCTTTCTACCAGACACCATTCATATAGGTTTCCTAGACCAAAGTAAGGTAAGTCCAGGCTATAGGATAAAAATATTAAATGCATTCATCGATCGATCGATTTTTTTTAATTTATAAGTTTTATGAAAAAAGTAAATTGACAATTGAAACAGTCTGCCGATCTAATGATCAACTTTATTTTTAATTTGTTTTTATAGAAGAATGATAAAAATAAAGTGTTGCAATACATTTTATTTTTTCTAATAATAATTATCATCGATCGCGGTCGGTTGATTTAACTTGCAACTTAAATAAAAGATAACTATTGCTTACATTGGCAGTTGAAAGCGTTTTTAAAATTTAAAATGGTCAATCTTGTATATTAGTGAAGAAGTCCACTTAAATCAGGTTTTTCTTTTTGTAACTCTTTATCCTTTTCTTATTCTTTACGGCATATGTTTTAATCGGGAAAACAAAAGAACAAAAACAGCAATGGACTTTTGAAAACATCGCAACTGCTTCTATTTTTGTTTCTTTCTTGTCATCAATCAAATTCAATTTTTCTAACGTACAAAACTGAAAAGATTATTACTTTAATTCAATTCCACCTGATCGCTTCGATTGATGCGATAAAAATAATTTGTTTCCGTCGCCGAAAGGTGTCTATCGTATTCAAAATTGGTTGCGCGCGGATATATTGCAGGAAATGATTAAAAACGAAGAAAGAAAAAAATGAAAATCCTTTCGAAAGTATATCCAAATAAAGTGACTCACTCTAAAAATTGTTATCAAAAGTATTAGTAGTTTTTATTCCATTTCTTTTTTATAACGTGTATAACAAATTGCATCATTAAAGTTCTATTTGTCCTTTCATGATGATATATTTTAATGAATACACATTTTAATCCCAACTCTTTGATCAATCATTTGATTCCATTTAAATATGATATATATATATTTCTATTTAAAAATAATCAAATGAATACCTTTCGACAATGATGTGTCCATATTTTCTGCAAATCATTCCTTATCCGAAATAATCATATGTTATTAAGTTCATAAAATCGAATCGTAAGATCTCTATTACAGATAAACGAGAACGACTGCAGAACAATCCTGGTAAGGAAGAAGACAGCAGACCTAAAAAGTGGATCGAAGAGGAACAGGAACTGTAGCGTTGGAAAGTGGTTGGAGGGTGCTTCCTTTCTTTTTTTATTTTTCGGCATTGTCTTTTGAAAGAAGAAAAAAAGAGAGAGAGAGAGATAGAGAGAGAAAAAGAGGCTCGTTATGGGCCCAAAAGAGCAAAACGTAACTCACTGAGCGATGCAAGTAGTTGGGGCTGGGGCCCTGCTAGTGAGCATGTGGCTCACTAGAGAATGAAGAAACAAAACGTCCGGACCCTATCGTTAATCGTCTCCACATTCACCTACCTCCTCGTCGGCGCTGCAATCTTCGACGTTCTCGAGTCCGAGACGGAGAAACGACGCAAGGAAGCACTGGATGGTAAAAAAGAAAAGAAAAATATCATATCGAGTTTCTAACTATTTGAAGCATGGTAAAATTAACATGTCGACGTATACTTTGTTTTTCTAAATCCCTTTAATAAAGAAGCATGCTTTTGTTTTTGTTACCAATGTTTCTTTGGTTGTACAAAAAGTTAGATGATTACATGGAACAATGCAATCAATCCTTTGTACAGGTTTTACACTCCAAATTAAGACTCATGCAAATCATGTTCACTTTATTGTAAATGAAATTCACCCTTTTACAGGTGAAATATAATATAATACCCATAATTAACAAAAATTAATTATAAGAAGAAGAAAAGAGTGATCACTTGAGAGATTCTAATTGTTATATTTAATCTGTTTAACAGCCATTGAGAAAATGGTTATACGCAAGTACAATATCAGCGAGGATGATTTTAAAATCATGGAAACCGTGGTTCTGAAAACGGAGCCGCACAAGGCAGGCCAACAATGGAAGTTTGCGGGTGCTTTCTACTATGCAACCACGGTTCTCACCACAATTGGTGATTATTAGTATTTTGTTGTACATTCTAATGTTATACTTGAAAGAGTCTTAAACGGGAAAACTTTTAGTCGATGGCATGGCACTATCGTTAAATGAATGTCTGTCTAGTTTTGTGAATCTTTCCCACAAACTTTTTTCTCAGCTTGTTCAAGAACTCGAGTTTGATAGAGGATATAAAAGGGTTTACATACTAACTTCTTATACTCTGTGGATATGCGAATGTTCAAAAACTGTCTTTTAAATTGGTAACGCGTTTTACGTGATTTTTACAAATGTTAGTAATTGTAACAGATCAATTATAAAGAAGTAAAAATATGAAAAAGTAATAAGATCTCTGATACTTAAAACATAAATTAACTTTAGTACTCCCGAACGTTTTTATCTTATTCTTTAAACGATATTATCTCCCTAATAAGCTTCTTATTGAATAGGTTACGGACATTCAACGCCAAATACTATAAGCGGTAAGCTTTTCACGATGTTCTACGGAATCGTGGGAATCCCGTTAGGACTCGTAATGTTCCAAAGCATAGGTGAACGCCTTAACAAGTTCTCATCCGTTGTGATACGGAACGTAAAGATGCTTCTCAATTGTAAGGATGTCCAGGTAAAGATAATTAAGATCTCTCATCTTTGTTTTATTCCACGTGAATAATGAATTAATTGATTAATTGTTTTAGGCTTCAGAAATAAATCTGATCTGCGTTGTGACAACTTTGTCATGTCTGACTATCGCTGGTGGTGCAGCAGCGTTTTCCAGATACGAAGGGTGGTCTTATTTCGATTCCATCTATTATTGCTTCATCACTTTGACAACCATTGGCTTCGGTGATATGGTAGCTTTGCAAAAGGACAATGCTCTGAACAATAAGCCAGAGTACGTAATGTTTGCCTTGATCTTCATTCTCTTCGGGTTGGCGATCGTTGCGGCCTCCCTTAATTTATTAGTCCTGAGATTCGTCACGATGAATACCGAAGACGAGAGACGAGACGAGGCCGAGGCTTTGCAGGTGATAGTTTCATTTTATTCATTATTAATATATTATAATTAACACGCAAATCCTGTTTATCTTCTTTGTTAAGAAATATTAGAATTTATTGTCAACTGTATATAGGCGGCACAGGACGCAGTACGCTTGGAAGGTGATGTGATAACAGCAAACGGCTCGATATTATCAGGGCGAGTCGGTAATCACGGTGAAACAGTTTCGTTTGACGACGAGCCGTCAGTATGTAGTTGTCGCTGTAGCGGCTTTCAAAAGAAACGCCGGAGACCACGTTTTACGGTTCGTCGCTCACCCGGCAAGATTTCTCACCTCTTACCGATGCAGCAATTTCCAGAACCGAATCAAGAAACCGAGTTGAGATCACCTCAGCTAACGCCGTTGCTACAATTACAAACGTTGCATCAACATCGTGCCAGTATCTGACAACGTTCTTATGTTTCTTCGTTAACTTCCATAGAACTTCAGCCGAGACGAGAGTCTGTCTGATCCACCGTAGAAGTTAACTATTTCGATGTTCGATCAATAATTAAGTCGACGACCGTATTAAGTCCAATATCTTGTTTTCTTCTAGTCGTTGCCGTCAACAGTTTCAATGTCATTTTTAAAAACCTGCACTGTGACGTCAACGATTCAACTTCAGCTTTTTCATGGATAAAAAAGAAAAAGAAAAAGAAAAGAAAAGACAAGACAAGACAAGACAAGACAAGAGCAAAGAAAAGAAAGCAAAACAAACCGAAAAGAAACTAATTGTCTGTTCTATCTGCTGTGTATAGCAGCACCTTGTGCTCGAACGTCAAAGAAACAAACGTCGGTGGAGTGTGAAACAATAACGTACAGCTTAACGGCTCTTCCTTTCGTTTTCTACTCGGACAAACGATATTCAATAAAGATATGTCATTTCACTCGAATTAATACGTTAAATCATTTATTTCATTTTACATCCGATAAAATAAATTCGTTTCTTATCAAAAATTATTCTAATACACGTATATATGTACATACTTATGCGTGTCACAAGTTATCACAGAAAATATCTGATATTTTATTTAAATTAACAAGTCAATGAACAAGATAATTGTGAAGAAGTAAAGTATAAAAAAGAAAGAAATAGAAATTCAATCGTTCGAGTTTCTCTGATTATAAAGCTCAGGCGTGTTATATATGTATCACACATGGTAAAGATAGGTGTTCCACATGCGGAGCAATTTTCTTGCCTTTCATCGAGAGAAGTAGTATCTATTTAAATATTTTTTAATGTCAAAGAATATATCTTTAGTATTCCAAATTTTGACATGGTATATGTATATGAGGTATATGTAAGTAGTATCCATGTGAAGAGTGGTAGTAGCGAGCCAGCCGAACGTTTTTCACGCGTGTATCATAACTACGAAATTCAAAAATTTCAAGGAAGGAAAAGAAAAAAATGAAAACAACCAAAGAAAAACCAAAAAAAGAAAGCTTTAATGAAGACGACCAACCGAAAAAAATTTAAAAAAAATCTAATAAATAACAATCCCGGATCGTTCGACGACTCGTTACAATAAAAAAAAAAAACAATATAGTAAAATATAAAAAGAATAAAAAAAAAATTACTGACAACGGTATTCAGTATGTTTCTAATGAGAACTCGTATTTATCTATGTCGTGCATCGTGCACCGATTCGTGATCGATAGAATTCAATGAAAAGCCAAACGATTCGATGCATTGAACTTGTCACTTATCGTTATTTCGTTCGATCACAAAATAATAATAATAATAATAGTAATATTATAATAATAATAATAATAATAATAATAATAGTAAAATAATAAATATAATGAGAGAAAGAGAAAGAGAAAGAGAAAGAGAAAGAGAAAGAGAGAGAGAGAGAGAGAGAGAGAGAGAGAGAGAGAGAGAGAGAGAGAGAGAGACGAAGTCAACTAATTATTCTTCATTATTATAGACTACAAATCAACAACAACAAGAAAAGAGCAAGAGACGTATAAATTCAAGATTTGTAATATATTAGGATTATAGTTACATATATGAATCACAACGATCTTACAGGTCGGAAGTCATTTTTATGAATACAAAGATACACACGAGCGTAAAAAAATGAATAAATAAATGAAAGAGAAAAAGAAATTAAGAGATAGAACGAATTTGAGCTTTTAGCTTACACACTTTGTACATCTTCATTTTCGTTCTACTTATTATAAGAGGCACTTCGTTTCTTTTCTCTCATATGAAAATCAAGATATCTTCTAATTCGTTTACGTTTTACGTTATATCTTAAGTCCGAATACGTTTTGACGTTAATAGCCCAGTTTCTTTTTACGAATAATATTTATATTTATTTATCTGCTTTTTATAATTAGATTCATAAAATAATTATTATTCGATCGGTAAACGAAAAATAAAAAGAAAAAGACAAGAAGAAATAACATTATCAATTATTCATTACTTAAAATTAGAGATCGAACTAAAGTAATAGAACGCATATATTAAACGGCGTTTTAAATCGATAATATAAAACGACCAAAAATATACAGATAATTTTGTTTTCATTTATTTATTTATTTATTTATTTATTTATTTATTTATTTATTTATTTATTTAT